AAGATGAGAATGAACGGGAAGAGGAAAATGCCAACATGAACATCCCTCCCGTCAACAACAATAATGGAGTTGGTCCCTCGGATGATAATACGAAAGAAGACCACGTTACCTCTCCCCGAAACCACTCGAAGTCAGATACGAGTGAAGACAAGAAAATGAAGGACTTGGAGAGCAAAATCAACGCGTTGATGAATGCTCAAGAAGTGAAGAGGTCCGGTATACCATGTCCATACCCAAAGGAGTGGGAATCAATTCCATATCCGGCAAAGTTTAATTTAATCAACTTTACGCCGTTTGATGGAAAGGGTTCCCCTACCCAACACTTAATATATTTTAAGTCCCACTTAGGAATAATCTCCGGGAATGAACCCTTAATGGTGCGGTCATTCGTTGGCACTCTTCGCGGAGCGGCCTTCGATTGGTATCGTCGCCTCAAGCCGGGGAGTATCAGCAGTTGGGACGACATGGAGGATATGTTTCTAACGAACTTCTTCGACGACGACACCGAGGTCTCAATCGGCACTCTATTTGACGAGAAGCAGAAAAATGGTGAGACAGTCGAGAACTTCGTGAAGAGATTTCGAAACAAAACAATGAACTGCAGGGATCCGGTCAGCGAAGACTTTATCATCGAGACTTGTCACAATAATCTTTCGTTGGACATCCTCGAAGCTATGGGAATGACACCACCGAAGACCTGGAAGGACTTAAAGGTGCGAGGAGAACGAGTCGAGCGATTCCTTAAAAGGAAGAAGGTGGAAAGGGGCCAAATAGCTAATAATGCCCCGCAACAGAACTTTGTCCCTAAGGGAAAAGCACATGCGAATGCTGTGGACGCGAATCAAACATTCGAGGTGCAAGCGCAACCGCAACAGCAGCAACAAAAGGCGCCTCAACAATCAAGGTCACAACAGCAATCCCGAAGGCAGCAAAAGACTTCGGAACCGAAACTCCAAAAAGAGTATTCCTTCAAGGACGAAGACGTTCCAGCCATCTTCGAATCCCTCCTTGAAAACAACAAGATCAAGCTACCACCTATCGTCAATCAGGAGGAAACTGACAATACTGCGGATCCGAAGTACTGCGCATATCACAGGAGGATCCTTCATCCCACCAAGGCGTGCTTTACTTTAAAGAACAGCATCCAAATCCTGATTGAAGCCGGCGTTATAACGCTAGGGTAAGACAATTGAGAACGGCAAGACTCCGACAAGTATAAGAGTATAAACTGCTTCTTAAGACTCCGACAAGTATAAGAGTATAAACTGCTTCTTAAGACTCCGACAAGTATAAGAGTATAAACTGCTTCTTAAGACTCCGACAAGTATAAGAGTATAAACTGCTTCTTAAGACTCCGACAAGTATAAGAGTATAAACTGCTTCTTAAGACTCCGACAAGTATAAGAGTATAAACTGCTTCTTAAGACTCCGACAAGTATAAGAGTATAAACTGCTTCTTAAGACTCCGACAAGTATAAGAGTATAAACTGCTTCTTAAGACTCCGACAAGTATAAGAGTATAAACTGCTTCTTAAGACTCCGACAAGTATAAGAGTATAAACTGCTTCTTAAGACTCCGACAAGTATAAGAGTATAAACTGCTTCTTAAGACTCCGACAAGTATAAGAGTATAAACTGCTTCTTAAGACTCCGACAAGTATAAGAGTATAAACTGCTCCTTAACACTCCGACAAGTATAAGAGTATAAACTGCTTCTTAAGACTCCGACAAGTATAAGAGTATAAACTGCTCCTTAACACTCCGACAAGTATAAGAGTATAAACTGCATTCTCGGAGTGGAGATCACAGTCTTAGTTTCATCATTTCGGATTCTGGGGGTGGAGATCCCACCTCGAGTTTCCTTTCCGACTGTAGATAGAATATAAAATTCTTCCTTTTCAGTCCCGGGAGATAGAATATAAAATTCTTTCTCTTCCGCTTTCCAGTCCGTCTTTATTCTGATAAAAGACACAATTCCCAACTTCCAATCCGGGCACTTGGTGCAAGGGGAATTTTATCTCAACTCCTAAATAGGGATAAGTCTACGCCTAACACGCGTTGCCGGTTTAGTCTTTCACCGATTGAAAAAGACACCAAGGTCTAAACTTGGGGAATTTTATCCCGAAGCCTAAGTAGGGACGAGTCAACACCTAACACGTGTTGCCGGGTAGCCTGTTCCCGTAACAAAGGCGAAGCCTATGTATTCGGCATCATAGCACAAAGTCTCAGAGGATTCACTCTCTAAGCACAACGTTACATGCGGAACGGATTTAGACAATCCGCATGCTAGCCCAACTCAAACGGTAATCGGTAAAGGCACATCAAACCCGTTGAAGGCTGGGGGTTTGCCAAAAATCCCAAAGTCTATGTCTAACACACATTGCCGGTTTAGTCTTTCGCCGATTGAAAAAGACACCAGGGTCTAAGCCTGGGGAATTTTATCCCGAAGCCTAAGAAGGGATAAGTCGTCGTCTAATACGCGGCGCGGGGTACCTTTTCCCTATAAGAAATGGTTAAGCCTATGTATTCAAAATCATAGCATCAAGCCTAAGAAAAACAATTCTCTTAGCACAACGTTACATGTGAGACGTGTTTTAATAATTCACATGCTAGTCCGATTCAAACGATAATCGGTAAAGACATATCAAACCCGTTGATCGCTGAGAATTTGCCAAAAATTCTATAAGTGCGAGTCATTGATGCATCAGCTCTATTAGTTGGTCTCGTGACTCGATTATCCAACAACATTAAAATAAGATCCACAAATGCAGATGAATCAGCTTTAACAGTCGGTCCTGCAACCCCGACACTTGGGACCGCCGTGCTCCAATACCTTAAGAGCTTAAACTGTGCATACTCCAGTAAACGTACGAGTATAAACTGTGTCAACGCCCTTCGGAATAACGAAGACACAGGCTAATCGAGAACCCCGCGATGTTTACAAAAGGAACAATGCCCTTCGTGTCTCATGCATTCAACAGATGATCTAATCATTGGAACTTATAGAACACCTCGTCGGCTTCCCAACGCACTTTTAATTGTTAAAATCCGAGTTCGGATGAAGAAGTTACGGCGAAAACGAACAAACGGGCATAACGGAACGTCTCAGGCTGAACTGGGACACCCGAGGTGTCTCGGACATTGTGGAGCTGTTTTGACCATGATTCGTTTTGAATATAAAGAAACTCAAAACAGTAAATTTGTAGATATTTTTGTAAGCTTTCCAATCCATCTGGAATCAGGTCATTTGGAGGTCATATGAGGAAGTTATGACTAAAATAGCGCCGAGACACCCTTGGGGTGTCTTGACTTGGCGGAGACACCCTAAGGTGTCTTGGAACTTGTGGAGCTTTTTTGACCATGATCCGTTTTGAATCTGAAGAAACTCAAAACAGGAAAGTTGTAGATATTTTTCTCAGATTTCCAACAAATCTAGAATCAGATCATTTGGAGGTCATATGAGGAAGTTATGATTAAAGTAGCGCCGAGACACCCTTGGGGTGTCTTGACTTGGCCGAGACACCCTAAGGTGTCTCGGAACTTGTGGAGCTTTTTTGACCATGATCCGTTTTGAATCTGAAGAAACTAAAAACAGGAAAGTTGTAGATAGTTTTCTCAGCTTTCCATCAAATCCGGAATCAGATCATTTGTAGGTCATATGATAAAGTTATGATTAAAATAGCGCTGAGACACCCTTGGGGTGTCTTGACTTGGCCGAGACACCCTAAGATGTCTCGGAACTTGTGGAGTTTTTTTGACCATGATCCGTTTTGAATATGAATAAACTCAGAATAGGAAAGTTGTAGATAATTTTGTCAGCTTTCTATCAAATCCGGAATAAGATCATTTGGAGGTCATATGAGGAAGTTATGACTAAAATAGAGCCAAGACACCCTTGGGGTGTCTTTACTTGGCCGAGACACCCTAAGGTGTCTCGGAACTTGTGGAGCTTTTTTGATTATGATCCGTTTTGAATCTAAAGAAACTCAAAACAGGAAAGTTGTAGATATTTTTGTCAGATTTCTATCAAATCCGGAATCAGATCATTTGGATGTCATATGAGGAAGTTATGACCAAAATACTGAAGAGGGTACAGACTGTCTCGCACAGGTGCGAGACACCCCGAGCTGTCTCGCACTTGGGACGTGTTTTTGACGATTTTCGATCAGTTTTAACCGCTCCGTTATCCCCTCAAGCCTATAAATATAAGCCTTAGGCCTCATTTTTCAGGGCTGGAATTTTGGAGAAGAGGCGAAGCCCTGCCGGAGTGAAGAGTGACCGAGCACTTCAACGCAAGAGAGTTTCTTCATCAGTTCTACATCACCCGCATCCGTTCCTTAGCATTACCCCTCGTCGGTAATCCTAAGAAGAGAAAATATCTCGCTTTTTCCGAGATAGGCGCTTCAGTTTCTAGATCTTCTCGCGGATCGACGAAGCTCTGAACCAGATCTGATTGCCAGGTGGTCCACGGATATCGACGTCCCCGTCACAGGCTAAAGACCCACGCAAGCAAGAGACGATAAACGGATCTTGTGTTTATTTTCAAGAAAGTTGTAATTTTTAATTCTTTGTTATTTGAATTCATTTGTAACGTTTGAAGTTTAATGAAATCAATGATGAAGGCAACTTTTGACGAAAACACCAAGTAACAAAATGAGCCGTCAAAAGATAGAAATGACGAGGTTCAAATGTTCTGACGTAACTAGTAAAGTAGATTTTATCACTTGTATATCTCTTGATATCTATTTAACAAATGAGTGTTTAAAATGACAAAAGACTGTATATAGTGTTATTTATGATTGATGGTAAGTGATTTGAGTCTCTGAGAGGTTGGAACTGGGCCATTGAGCACAGTCCAGGAAGTAGGAACTGTTAATTGAAGCCAGACAGCTATACTTTGACTTTTCTCTTTCTCACACACACTTATATTATTGTCTCTCGTCTCCTTTCATTTTGTTGTCATATACTTACATCTTTCTTTCTCTTTCATCACTTCTCCTTAACTATTATTGCAAAAGATTTATTTTTGAGAGAGAGAGGGAGATCACAAATTATTTATAATAGAGAGAGACAAATGGGAAGAGCTCCTTGTTGTGATAAGGCAAATGTGAAGAGGGGACCTTGGTCTGCAGAGGAAGACACCAAGCTCAAGCAGTTCATTGAGAGGTATGGCATTGGTGGCAATTGGATTACTCTCCCTCATAAAGCTGGTAACTTCTTTCTTTTGATCTTCTTGTTAATATATTTTGTGTGATAATCTGTGATACTAATTATGTTTTTAAGTTTTCTTTGTGTGTGAATTGAACTAGGGCTGAAGAGATGTGGGAAGAGCTGCAGGCTTAGATGGCTAAACTACTTGAGGCCTGACATCAAGCATGGAGAATTTTCTGATGACGAGGACAGGATTATCTGCAGCCTCTATGCTACTATTGGAAGCAGGTAAAAAATAGAATAACAATATATAAGCTTCTTTTTTCTAATCCTTGAGGAAAAATGAAGAAAGGCTACCTGCTACTATTGGAAGCAGGTAAAAATAGAATACAATATAGGACAAATTTTCAAAAGAGGCCCATTTAGATTTTTATTCCCAAAAAACGACCTCATTCAAACATATTTACAAAAACCGACCTGGTTTCAGCCTCAGCGCTGAAACCAGGTCGGTTTTTAAAATTTTTTTTCCGAAACTTCACGGGAGTTGAACTCCCGTGAAGTTTAGCAGATCTACTAAACTTCACGGGAGTTCAACTCCCGTGAAGTTTCATAGTTCAAAAAAAAAAATTTGAACTATGAAACTTCACGGGAGTTGAACTCCCGTGAAGTTTAGTAGATCTGCTAAAAAAAAAAAAATTTGAACTATGAAACTTCACGGGAGTTGAACTCCCGTGAAGTTTAGTAGATCTGCTAAACTTCACAGGAGTTCAACTCCCGTGAAGTTTCAGAATTTTTTTTTAAAAACCGATCTGGTTTCAGCGCTGAGGCTGAAACCAGGTCGGTTTTTGTAATTATGTTTGAATAAGATCGTTTTTTGGGATTAAATTCACAAATGGGTCTCTTTTAAAAATTTGTCCATACAATATGTAAGCTTCTTCTTTTTTTTTATCCTCGAGGAAAAATAAAGAAAGGCTACCCTTTTTGGTGAAACATCTTAACCCATAAGATCTTATACACTCCGAGCTAGTTCTTGTGTGTAGAAGCAAGGACGGAAAGAATATGTCCAAAGAAGATGTAGTTAGCTAGCTCCCTTGCATGCTTTCAAGTGAAAGTAAAGAAACCAAAATCAATGAAGGTTGTCATGACTTTTCTTCTTGTATCATGACATCTCTATAGTGGAGAAACATTTACTCGATCATAAGAATATATTATTTAATGTATGATTGTGATTAGTACAATTCATAGATATATGATTATTTTAAATAATACGGGAGGTAAAATTATAGCACTCAACTCTCACTATAAGTTTTGAGTTTTGGTGAAGTAAAAGAAATTTTAAAAATCTAGATTTTAAGTTCCATCAGCCATGCATTAAAATTGTATTTAAAAGAGTCATTACAACACAAGTCCACGTTTCGACTCTGCCGAGACCCGCTAATTATAGTATAAAATTATAACATTCAATCCTCATGACGTATAACCCCGTAGTTTTCATGTAAAGGGACATGAAGGGGGAAAAAAACTATTTCCTCACTGCAAAAGCATTGTTTATAACTTGTGTATATACGCATGCTTCGCTTCTGCCTCTCCCTTTCAAACGCAGGTGGTCCATTATAGCTGCTCAACTCCCAGGCAGAACAGACAACGACATCAAGAACTACTGGAACACAAAGCTGAAGAAGAAGCTACTAGGGATTAATTCTCAAAGAAAATCAACAGCAACAGCAAATCATCATCAGCAACAGCATCAGAGTCAATACCAACAGCCTCAGCTCTTGTCAGGCCTTGACAGTAGCTGTTTGCCTACAGTAGCAACACCCTCTCAAGATCTCTTCATCTCTAGTTTCCTCAACAATCAGTATGATCAGATGAGCTTTGGGCGTGTTGAGCGGAGCTGCAGCTCTTCTGACCTTATCTTCGAAAGCTATCTGTATGGTGAACTTGGGCAAGCTCCTCCGTTAGAGCATAGCTATGAAGAAATCAAGAACTTGATTAATACTAGTACTAATAATGTTGCTGGTGCTGATGCGTACTGTACCAGTCATGATGATCACTGTAGAACTTAATGGAGAAAAAAAAAGGTTTGATTGCGGATATATCGGCGTCCATATTATAAGAGTTAAAGGTTCTCTGATGTCTAAACGGATCGTTTTCTCTTCGTTGTGTGTATTTATGCCATAAGAAATTATAGTGAGTCTCTTTGCAATATAACAGATATTAGGAAATTTCTCTGTAACACATTAACACATTAATATTACGTGATACGTATGCGATATGAGGCAAAAGAAGATCACATAGAAAAGAAGATATAATTTTGTTTACACATCAAAAAGTCTAATGCTGAAATAAAATATTGGTTTTTACATGCTAGTCTCGTAAATCACAGGCACCTTGATTTTAGTCATCCAAATCTCTATATTTTGATATTATTCCTCTAGATTGTCATAATGTGTTGATATTAGTCCTCCTATTAGATATACCGTTCAAAACCCTAAATCATAGTTGAGTTAACATTAATCATGGGTAGGGAATTATCTTCTTGCCCCTCCGTTCCTCCCTCCTCCTGACTTCCTCCTCCATCACCTCCATTTCCTCCACCATCGTCACCTTCTCTGCCAGTATTTTCACATCATCCTCCACCACTGCCACTACCATCTCCACCAACTCCCATCTCCACCTCCATCTATATTCTTGTTGGATAGCAGGTTCCTAATATGTTTCCTAATTTGTTTTGGTAACAGGTTATTGGGATTCCTAATCTGTTTTGGTAACATGATTCCAAAATCTGTTTTGGTAACAGGTTATTAGGATTCCTAATCTGTTTTGTTTTTTATTTTAGAATTCCTAGTATGTTTATGATTTTAGGATTTCTATATATATGGAATAATTGGAAGAGAGAATTGAGAAGAAAATTAGGGATATTTGGAGCACAGAAAAGAGATATTTTCTGAGCTATTGATTAGGGTTTTGTTTGAAGAGAATTAGAAATTTGTTGGTGAGATTAATTGGTGAGTTAGAGTGATTTGTAATCTTAGTTTGTATTCTTCTTCTCTATTAGTGAAAAACCCTATCCCCTTCTTGCCTCATGGACGTAAGCAACTTGCCGAACCATGTTAAAATGGGTTGTTTGTGTTTGTGGCATTGATTTGGTTCGTTTGGCCTTCTCTCGACGTTCGTTTGATTTGATTTCGTGTAGCATGTTGGTTTAGTTGTTTGGCTTCTGCAGCGCTCAACAAGTGGTATCAGAGCTCGGGCTACGCTTTGGCTATTTGGAGGAGTAGGTCGTTTTGGAGGCTCGCCTAGGACTTCGTTTGGTGATAAAGGTGGTATCTTTTTGATAAAGATTCTATCTTTTTTAGTTTTGGATCGATCTATTCTTCATTTTTTCCATATTTGTTTTGGTGCTTTGAGAAAGATGGTCGGGAAAGGAGTTGTGGAGGGTACTTCCGGCGTGAAGACCGTCCAAAGTTTGAATATCCACTCTATGAAGATAGATCAAAGCTCTATCAATGTTTCAAGGAGTTCAGTGCCATTTCTGGTTTGGAGGCAAATGCAGAAAAGAGTTCTATATACTATGGGGGTGTTGATGAAAATACCAAAAATTCTCTTCACAACTTGCTGGGGTTCTCATCTGGTACATTGTCTATCAGGTATCTTGGAGTCCCTCTGACATCTAAGAGATTATCTTTTTTTGGACTGCAATCCATTATTTACAAAGATAACTGGTCAGTTTCAGAATTGGTTAAGACATCGAAAACTTTCCTATGCTGGTAGGCTTCAGATCATCAAAAGTGTTATACTTGGGATTCAAATATTCTGGACTTCAAATTTCATTCTGCCTGTCAGAGTTCTAAAGAGAATAGATGAACTTTGCAGAAAGTTCCTATGGGGTAATTCTGATCAAACTTTTAAAGCTTCTCTTGTCTCGTGGGAGAGGGTGTGCAGGAGTAAGGATCAAGGGGGTCTGGGGATTTTCTCTGCCCTCAATTGGAATATTGCTTCAGCCATCAAATGTATCTGGAACATACACACCAACAAGGAGTCCCTATGGATTAAATGGATTCATGAAAATTACTTAAAAAATTCAGATATTTGGCTGGTGGTTGCAAAGCCTAGTGATTCCTGGATGTGGAAACAGTTGATTAGAACAAGGGATAAAGCTATAGATTTGTGTGGTGGTGAGAACATTCTGAAGTTGCTGATCAGTTCCTGCTGCAAAAATTCAAAGCTCAGAATCTCGGCCATATACAATTCACTCTTACATTCAGCAAATGAAGAGAAATGGTCCAGAGTTGTTTGGGGAAGATTAAATATCCCTAAGCATTCATTCATTACCTGGTTAGTTTGTCAAGACAGACTTCTAACAAAGGACAGGTTATATAGGAGAGGAGTCATTAATTCAAACCTGTGCAGTCTTTGTGATGGAGCTTGCAGCGAATCCAGGAACCACTTGTTCTTTGAGTGTGTATACTCTTGTGAAGTATGGAATAATATCATGGATTGGATGGATTTTAACTGGCGTACCTGTCATTTGCATCATGTTATTGAGCTGTTTATTGTCAGACAGCGAGGTAAGGGACTTAAACCGCTTCTCAAAAATTTGGCTCTGACAACAACTATCTATTACATTTGGAGGGAGCGCAATGTTAGAATCTTCCAACAAAAGTCCAGGAGCACATCGCAGCTGGTTAGAGAAATCAAAACTGATGTTTGGATCACCATATTAAACAATCCATTAGCTAGATAATCTGAAAATGTGAATTTCCTCTTAGTGATGTTCTGTTGCTAGATTTTGTAAGCTCAGTCTCTTTCTGAGCAATTGATGTAATTACATTTCATATTTGGTTATGAATAAAAATCTTTCATTGACCAAAAAAAAAAGTTTAATGGCACAAATAATTTTGAATTTTGGAGATGTGAAGTCTTGGATACGCTCAATGCGTAAAATTTAGAAGATACTTTGGAGTTGGATAGAAAACTGGACGACATTTAGGAGAATGTTTGGAAAAATATGAATAGAACGGCGTATGGTGTGATTAGATCTTGTTTGACTCAAGATTTAAAATATGATGTGATTAATAAGATTTCGGCTAAGAAGATTTGGGAGATCCTAGAGGGTAAGTATTTGACCAAGAGTGTAGAGAACCGCTTGCATTTGAAGAGAAGGGTTTATCTCTTCCAATTGAAGAAGAGAACCTCCATTGGTGATCACATAAACCACTACACACAGCTTCTTACGGATTTGGTGAATGTAGATGTGATGATTGAAGATGAGGACAAGGCGTTGTTGTTGAGTTCCTTGCCTAACGAGGAATATGAGACCTTCGTTCTTACTCTTATTAATAGGAATGCATATCTTTCTTATAGTGAGGTCACTGCTGCACTTGTGAATTATCAACTTCGAAAGAAGGACAAGGAGACTTCAGTTGAGCCGGTAGCGGGGGCATTGGTCGCAAGAGCAAAGAGTCCAAACCATGGTAGGAGGCTGTAGTCTAGAGGGGCATATCTTGGAGTTTGTAGGAATCAATATGTTTTTCGTAAAGAGGATGGACATTGGAAAGTCGAATGCCCAAAGTTGGTTGATCGAGCCGAGAAGAATAAGGGAAAAACTATTCAAGCTTCAGAGGTGAATGTTGTCAAGACTAGTGATAATAATTCAGATTCAGATTCTTTGGGCTACTCGTTATTTGCACTACCATTAGTTTGTGTTGCCGACTCTACAGAGTGGATGTTAGATTCGGGTGTTTTTTACCATATTTGTCCTAGGAGGGATTGGTTGTTCAGCTTTCAGGAGTTAGAAAGAGGGGAGGTTGTGCTCATGGGTAATGATCACGAATATCCTATTGGTAGTATCAGTACTGTTCGGATTAGGATGAGTGATGGAGTGATTCAAGAGTTGGTTGGAGTGAGGTTCGTTTCTCAGTTGAAGAAGAACATCATTTCACTTGGAGTTTTGGAGGCAGTAGGCTATAGGGTGACCTTGGTCGATTCATGTTTGAAGGTCACATTATTGTCCATGAGTGTGATGAAGGGCGTCAGGAGGAATAATTTGTATTATTTGATTGGGAGCACGGTATTTGATAAAGAGCTGACTACTTCTTTGGATTTGGCTAGACTGTGGTATTTGTTGAGGCTGAGTTATTTTATTGGTTTTACCGTGTATGGTTTGTTGAGGAGTGTTTTGACCTACAGATTGAAGTCCTTTGAGCACATTGGTATGAGCAAGAAGACCAAGGTGTAGTTTGACACTTCTATCCATCGATCAAGGGGTCTTTTAGGTGGTGTTCAATCAGGCATTTGGGGGCCTTCCAAGGAGGCATCATTAGGAGGTAATCGGTATTTGGTTTCCGCAGTTGGGAATTGTTCTAGGCATTGGTGGGTTAAATTAGGTCTCGTTGGTGTGAAGTCGTAGAAGACAACAACAATTGGAAGAAGTGTATTGGAAGAAAGGTAACCCGTCGTTCTAGCTTTGGTAGGGGTTCTTTCTTACATTTGTATCAAGTTCATGGTAGTTTGAGAGACTTCATTGATATGAAGACATTGGGGTGACAAGATGAGATGATAGTTTTAATGGGTCGTTCATTACTGGAGGGAGATCGACGTTGGTTATCGAGCATTGATTTTGGTTTTGGAGCTTTGACATATTTTGGTCATCTTGGTCATAGGTTGCTGACTGCTGTGTGTGGAGATTTTGGATCTGGTGGAGCTGCTTCAGATTTTAAGTTGCGTCGGATATTTGGTTGCCAAGTATTTGGTCACATCGAGGATATGAGATTTGATTCGATTGCACGTTTGGGATTCAAAGGCTCGTTTGATTATCAGTTAGGAGCTTCTGATTTTGTTTTGAGTAGGTATGTCATATTTGACTCTCGGCAGGTGGAGAGTGTTGATCAGATCATTGGAATATCGTAGCGGGTGGAGGGTGATGCTACTACACACTGGGTGGAGATTACTCCACATACTCCAGATCATACTGCATCGTTTGGGATTCTAGCTGAGGTGACACAGTTTGGAGATCATTTGGATTTGGATGTAGATGGTAAGATGGTTTTGGATTCGAGTGCAGCTGGTGGACATGTTTTGGATACGACCATTGGTTCACCTTAGGTGAAGGCGTTTGATTTGTTTCAGTTTGGGGCCATTAGGAACACTATCAGTTACAGATTCGT